ACTTTAAATATAATATTACAAATTTCAGGAACCATGCTTTATCGTTTATTTTCTTGTTAAAATAAATAAGTAACAATTCATTATTTGAAATGAATTCTTATTATCTAAATTCAAATATTGAAGACAAATCTCTTAATTTTATCTTTGATATATCTCGTTAAAATTCAAAAGACACGCTCGAATTGAAACTTCCTTTATATCTCATCCAATGACTGCTCTATACTTATATCTACGATCTCTTGTATCTTGTAATTCACAGGAATTGTATCTTGGGGCGAAGGATGCGCAAGGCCTGGCTATCCCGGTGTTTACACCAGGGTGAATCGTTACCTCTCGTGGATAAGTCGCAACACCGAGGACTCTTGTTACTGTTGATTTAAACGATGAATAATAATCCAAGGTAATCACGCGTGGATTACAACAAGAGTCTCGACTCGTGTTTTCGTGATTATTTTTAAATTCATCGCCTTGATCTTAATATCTATGATCGTAGATTCTTTAAAAAAAAGAAAAAAAAAAGATGAGTAAAATTCGTCCTCGTGGAATATCTTTTCTCGAGCATTTTAGGATCTTCGCGAATTTTTACATTCGTTTCGGCCACGAAACGACAAGCTCGAGCTGTGTTTAATTTTGAAAGTCTTTCATCGTGTGTTCATAGATTAACCCTCTATAATCGCCGCTCAAAAATCAAAACATCTGTAATATATTTATATTTTGTAAACATTGTGTAATTACAGTTTTAATTTATTTTGCTACATCATTGCCTCGCAAGGCGCAATCTGTACGTAACAATTATTAATTTCTATTCTGTACAACTATGGGGGAAAGCAAAATTTCTGGATTTCCTGGAAGTTGATATAAACTTCCAAGGTTTCGTTAAAGTACAGTTATTAAAGTTTTAAAACAATGGTTTGTATAGAATGTTAATATATTCGTGGGACATCTTTGAGGTTAATTATAGAGACTAAAAACAAGCCAAACAAAAGTATTGATATATAAAAGTATCGATCGAGTCTTGTTTGTTTTACAATTACAAGCAATTTAATTTTTATGAATTAAACGAATGAATGATGAAACAAACGTCTCTCCTTCCGTCCAACTCGAACTTCAATCTTTTATAACGATATTTATGCAAGTTAAAAAAAAAATTATAAATACAATTACACAAATAAAATTAAAGTATCAGACATTTTATATTTCTTTAGATTTTTTTATATTTCGATTTTTCATAAATGTATATATAAATATATATATAAATTCCACGATGTACTTATAATTTCTCTTATATATAATATATTAACATCTTATACAGCGCTCTTTTGAAAGCACAATCAAAGCAAAATATTCAACTGAATCACAAAAAGAAAAATAAAATTCGTTTTTTAACCAATTACTGCATTCCTCCACAATTTGACAACAATTTTTATTAATTTAATTAAAACGAACGAGCTTCTTACTATTTATCTCTCAAAATGAAAAATTTATAGAGGGTTAAAGCGATTTTCTACGTGCCCCACGAGAAGTTAAAAATAATAGATGGCCACGCGATCCGTTATCCCACATCGATGGAGGCGAGAGACAATTGAAAATTAAGGCACGTATCGCGTGTTCTCCACGCGACTCGTAATATTGAACGTACGAGAAAGAAAGTCACCCGGACTTTCTCTGTTTCTTCGAACTGGAATTTTGGTGAAAACTCATGGGTATGTGTATATATATATATATATACCCGTTGCCCACGGAGCTTTGATTCTCCGTGTATCCGTTTCCATCAATTTCGTGGGCGACAGTGAAACGTCGATTGTCATTGACCTGACAAAATTTTTTGTCGTACTCGAATTATTCGAAGAAATTCGAAAGTGTTTAGTTTTAAATATTTAGCTCGAATATATTTATAAAATACTCAAATGATACTCAAGTTTGTTAATTTTAATTTTGTAGTATTTATGTATTAATTTTTTATTTTTTATTTTTTTTACTATTAGTATAAATTCATTTGTATTAGAATTGCGTGGAATTTTTTATTTTATTATTTTTATAATAAAATAAATGATAAAAAATTAAAAGTGAGATTTGGAAATCCAATTTTCCAGAAGAACGATAAATTTGTTTATATTTTTCAAAATAATAAATTTTTTGGTAATTTTAATCGTTATATTTAATTTCATTGGTAAGTTAAAAAAGAATTTTTATAAAAATTTTTCATCGATTTTTCTTTTGTAATAAATAAGAAATAATGATAAAAAAGAGTTATGTTAGAAGGATAGTTAATATTTTAATAGAAACTTTTTAATAGAAAACTTTTATTTATATAACTTTTTCTGACTAATGTTCATTAGAATTTTTTTCAAGTACTGAATACTCGACTGGAAAAGAAAAGTCAACATTTTTTTGAATCACTTCCAACTTTCAATGGAGAATAAAAATTATTTCCCATAAATGTATTTCAACTTCTAAAGACTAAAATTCATTCAGAGGAAAAAAATATAAAATAAAGACAAGAATGGAAAAATAAAGGAAATATGTTTCAAGGAAAAAGAAATTTTAATTTCGAAAACTCTTGCGGTATATAAAAAATTCATTTAACTGAAACTAATTTTCACAAGCTTAATTTAGAACGTTAGAAAATAGTTTCTTTTTTCAATATTAGTTATACAATTTTAATTTCTTATATTGTAAATCTTTAAAAATCTTTCTGAACTTTTTCTACTATACATCCTATTTACAAATTTTCAAATTTTGAATAAATATTCAATTATTTAATTGAAATTTGTTTACAATTTTCCACGAATAAATATATTTTTTCATTTATATGCATTGAATCATAATTAATATTGAAATTACCAAACCAGATTTAAAAAAAAATTAAAATAAATTAATTTCACAGCTTCTTTGTTTCCCAATTAAAAATTTGTAAACACTTTTAACAAAATTTAATATCGATTTTATGCGTTCATTTCACCTTTTTAAAACGATATTTTGAAAAAAAGAAGAGAATAGTTTTAAAAGATTTAATAGTGGGAAGAACAAGTTACAAAAAAATTGTATCAAGGATAAAATTGATATACGAACCAAGGAAATAAGAGTGAAAGAGAATGTTATCATAAAGAAAGGATATAGAGAATTGAAGAAGCTCAACTCGACAAACAGTCTCTAAAGCCTAGCACATTGTACAATGAAACAGCAAAGTAAATAAGAAGAGATAAACGGGGGGGAAGTAAGGAAAACGAAGAGAAATTCATTTACTGTAACTTGCTTTAACCAAGAGTTTTAGTTCCTTTTAGTAATTGTTTTCTGTCAATCGACGTATCATTGTACTCCATACATACATGATCTATCGTTATTTTATATAAATAATTCATTAAAATTCTATAAATACTAAAAGAATACTAAATTAAACACATATGTCGATTATTCAACTATGATATGTCTACAACATGGTTTCATCGTAAAAATATAGGTAACTCTCATATAACATAATAGTATTTATACATATATAGAGTTATTCAATTTCAATAAAATCAATTTCATAATTTCATAATTAATTATGATTTTGATTTAATTAAAGATTGACTCTTTTGCAATATATAATATAAATATAAATTATATATAAATTTTTTTTAAAGATTTTCTCTATATAAAAATGAAGGGTCATTATTTTTCATCATAATCTCGCCTAGGAAATTTTAAAGAAATTATTCTACAGTAAACGGGTACAATTTTATTCATCAAAATGCTTTGGCATTTAAAAAAAGACAATTTTTTAAATTTTAACAAACTCATCCCTGTTTAATTCGATTCGAAATTTTCTTAAATAAAATTGTGTTTCCCTTGATATAATAATGGATAATAAAATTGTTCGGACGAAACGTTCGACATTCACGTTTTACATGTAACGCGAGTCTTGCATAATAATTTTTATGTAACTCAAGTACCGTGTCATACGAGAGTTACCTCGATGAGAGTTACTCCCAATGATATTCTACTTCAATATGTCTAAAATCGCACGTCGAAAGAGTGAATTTTTTTTGATCGTTTTTTAACATCGAAACGAACATCCACAAGTACAACCACAAAGAAGTAAATTGATTGGTTAAAATTAAAATCGTCAATATATATTTTTCGCGTATTAAATATCGGTGACTAGAAGTCCTTCCGGTCTAATGGCTTGTTCCTCCATCAACTTAACGTTTGCTTCTACTTTGTCGGACAACCAATATGTTTCCATGTTACCCTTACCCTGCACGAAAACGGTAAACTAACGAATTAAACGACCAGGCGGGGAAGAGGATAACCTAAATTAAAAACTTTTTGTGTATACGAACCTTGACCCAGACCAACCCGCGTGATTCAACGTGATAGCGATCCAGTGATAATAAGGCTTTGGCATCGGACGAGATGTGCACTCTTCCCGGCTGCATCGTGGAAATTTCGAAAGGAAATTTATTTAAAATTGTTAAAATTATAATAGAGTAGTAAACGGAAGAATAATAATAATTTGTTAATTAATAACTGGATGCGAATCTGAGAGATAGTTGAATTATATATTATAGAATGAAAAAAAAGATTTTTTTAATACTTTTAAATATTTTAAAGTGAAATGAAGAGTATTTTAGTGAGGAACCGAAGAAATGAATTAAAAATGAGTATAAAATATAGAATAAATTTTGTTATGATATTTTGAGAAAATCAAGTTTGAAAATTATATTATATAATTTATTTAATTTAGATAATAAATTCACTCTACAAACAAAGATTTTATTTTTGATTTATTTTTTAAAATCAAAAATTTTGCTTTCTTTTCCAATATTCCATAATTTTGGAGATATATAATATATATATATAGAGATAAATCCTATATATAATAAGAAATTGTGTAAAAAATCTGAAAGAATTTGTGTGCAGAACTTAACAAATTGAAACAAATTGAGAATTTTTCTTAAGTAAAAATATTTTGATCTCGCAAAAGAAATTAATGGATCCAGATTAATGGAATTTCAAAGTTTAAAATTCAATTTATACTTAAATCTTCAGTAAAGAACAAAGAGTTTCGATTTTTTAAAAATTTACTCTCTATCTTTTTTTATCTTTTTCCAATCTCTCCATTGAGATTTAACTTGAATAAATCAACTTACCAGACTAGTTGTTTGCATTCTAGAAGCAGTATTCACAGTGTCACCGAAGAAGCAATATCTAGGTACTTTGATGCCAACCACACCTGCCACAGCTGGTCCAGAATGGATTCCTAGTGGAAAGTGGAACACACTTGTATGCAATTGTGTTCATTCTCTGATTATTCTCTCGAGAGAAAAAAAACAGTTTGTTTTCGATAGAAAGACAAATTTAATCTCGTGAAGACAAAAGAAAGAAACGATGAAGAAAAAAAAAAAGAACAAAAAGAAAGAAGAAACAAAAGAAATTAGAACAGAATATATAACAGAGCATCGATTATCCAAAAATAGGATAAGTT